CCGCGTTGCAGCTAACGCTGTCCTGACCCCTGCCCCGAAACCTGCTGCTGCCGTTGCTGCTGCTGTGGCTGCTGCGAGGGGAGGGGCTGCTGTTGCTGCTGCTGTCGTCGAGTCAGGTACCACGCTGCTGCTCCACCCCCTGCGGCTGGCAGACCGGTAGGTGCCTGACGAACCCGGGCGTCACCTCCACCAGCTGCAGCAGGGGAGTCATCGGCCGCTGCACGAGGCGCTCCTCCAGCGCCTGCACTCCTGCCGCCGCCGCTCGCCACGTCACCCCCACCGCCTCCGCCGCCTCTGCCCGCACCCTGACCACCCCTCCTGCCACTCCTACCCCGAGACCGCGAAGAAGTCGTAACAGCAGCTACGGTCACGTCAGTAGCGGCAGTGGCGAGGGAGACAATAAAGGTGGGCAGCTGAGGGACAGTGCACCCGTGGAACAGTGGAGGGGGCACAACACCAGAGGTAGAGGCTACCGAGCGGGGGTTGCTCTCCACGTCCTTGAGGGCCGACTCAAGGACCTCGACAGTGAGCTCGCTAGGGTGCTTCAGAAGAAGCGCGTCACGAACCGAGGCAAGGCGGTCAGGGAGGCTAATGGCGATGAAATAGATAGTAATCGCCATGGGGGGAGGGAGCAGTGCGAGCTGTGCGTCAGTGCAAGCAGCGCGGTAGCTAGAATCGAGCAAGCGCAGATGAGTGATCAAGTCAGCAGTGCGCTCAAACGAGGCGAGGTCAGGAAACAGGAACGGAATGAACATGCGACCAAGAGAGACAATGGTGGGAGTAGCGTAGCGGGCCTTGATCGCAGTCAGGAACTCACTAGCCGTGCGAAGCTGAGTGAAGTGGGTCTCCTCAGACTCAGGGAGGAGGCTGCTGAGGGCGATGCAGGCCGCAGCGTCACGCGACTTCCACACTGTCACGCCAGTGCGCTTGCGTGCATAACGGTCACTGTCTGCAGGTGTGGGGTCAGCTGCTAAGGGTGCAGGGTCAGCTGGTTCAGGTAGGTCACCGGAAGCGTGCGCCCACAGAGTCTCGTGTGCCTGAACCTAGCTCTCTAGGAGGCGGCGCGCACGCAGGAGCCAGACCGAGAACTCGAGCGGCCTACCCTCAGCGTCAAAGCGCAGGACCCTAGGGGTCGCCATAGCGGAAGCGTAGAGGTGGATACTGCTGCTGCCGAAACCCTAAACACCTAAAGGGCCTGCGAAGGCGTGACAGACAGTGCGACACGACGGGACGGACGCGTCTGGCAGGGACGGGCGCGACAGGCGCGGACGGGCAGGGCGCAGCGGGGGCGCGATGGACGGGCAAGGCGCACGGGGCGCGACGGACGGGCAGGGCGCACGGGGCGCGACGGACGGGCAGAGCGCACGGGGCGCGACGGACGGGCAGGGCGCAGCGGGGGCGCGATGGACGGGCAGGGCGCACAGGGCGCGTGCGACGGGACGGGACGGGACGGGACGGGACGGGACGGGACGGACGGCGCGACACGGCGGGACAGAAGGGGGGCGACGCGACGGGACAGCAGGGACGACGGGACGGGACGGGACAGCAGGGACGACGGGACAGGACGGGACAGAAGGGGGCGACGCGACGGGACAGCAGGGGCGACGCGACGGGACAGCAGGGGCGACGGCACGGGACGGGACAGCAGGGGCGACGCGACGGCAGGGGCGACGGGACGGGACAGCAGGGGCGACGGGACGGGACAGGACAGCAGGGGCGACGCGACGGTAGGGGCGACGGGACGGGACAGCAGGGGCGACGGGACGGGACGGGACAGCAGGGGCGACGCGACGGCAGGGGCGACGGGACGGGACAGCAGGGGCGACGGGACGGGACGGGACAGCAGGGGCGACGGGACGGGACAGCAGGGGCGACGGACGGGACGGGACAGCAGGGGCGACGCGACGCAGGCGCAGCGGGCGCTAGGGCACGAGAGAGACGAGCGCGAGAGGCGCTAGGGGACAGTACGGGCGTAACGGGCACTAGGGTACGGGACAGGCTCGGGCGCTACGGATGTGAACGAGAGGAACGGGATCCTAACCTAGGTGATACCATGTCAAGAATGAAAGTGTTGGTTTCATTAAGGTTGGTTGGGGTACATAAACCTAACCCTAACAGTTGTACCCCCTATAACACACATCACTAAGACTACAACATTTGACACCTACCAATAGTTACGAAGGAGTTTTTTTTTTTTTTTTTTTTTTTTTTACCATTTGTTATTGTGAGAAGGACACACTTCTCTGGCCTCTGTAATAAAGTCGGGACAAGGAAACCGTAGCTTGCACACCCTGTGCTGTGCTTGCGAGGCAAGCTCATGCCGAACTCAGGTTGGTGGTGTTTTCTTTTTTCTGTTCGGAAAATGGGGGATCTACATGAACTTGCTCGAACAAATCTTCAATACGAAGGGAGCGCTGTTATGGTGGAGGGATCTTATGATCAAATTCGTAATTTAGCAACATGAAACCATGGAGAGCCAGGGTCCTTTGAAAGAACAGTCTGTTGTGTAGCATGTCAGTTGCATTGCATTCCATGGCGATGCTTTCAATTGACAAGCAACCAGAGACCATCTATTACACTTGCAGCTGTTACAGCTGTTTCTTACCCGGGCCTTGACTCAAGCGCACACACCAGCTCTACCACTTCTTGCAGCGACTGCAAAAGGGGGTTGAGAGGGTGAAGCAGGTGATGGGATTGAGGGGTGGTGGGAGGGGAAAGAAATACTGTAGGAAAGGATGCCTTATCAGTGCCTCAAACGGACACACCAGATGCACAAGCCCTCTCAGCGACTGCAAGGGGTGATTGATGAGCATGGGTGTGGGTGTGGGGATGGACAAGGAGAGGATGTGTTTGAAAAAGCTGCAATCGCACACACACCAGAAGCACCCCTGCCTGCTCTCTGTGCTGACTCCAAGGGTGCAGCACAGAGAGCAGGCAGGGGTAGCAGGTGTGGCAGGTGGCAGGTACGACATGGCAAGGTATGCGCTTGGATGCACATTGGAGATGGGGGCTAGAGCGTTCACACCAAGCCAGGGCAAACACAAGCGCAGCATGCAGACATACATCAGCTTCCAGTGGCTGACTGAAAATGCAGACATCTTTGTCAGGCAACGGAATCAACTCTGCTTCTAGCAGCAGACAAGCTGAAGATCTGACCCTGTGGAGAGAGAGTTACATACCAGCACATTCCCCAGAATGGCCGCTGACCTGTTTGCTGTGCTCCTCCACGCCTTGGAGTATTGCAGCAGCTGCAGAGGCGGGATCAGGAAGAGCATCGTAAAACTCCTCAAAGAACCCTCCCCCGCTGCTGGTGCCGCTGCTGTCGTCTATTCTGCTGCCCTTGCTGCTTCTTCCGTTGCCGCAAGCAGCAGTATCAGCTGCGCCAACAGCAGCAGCATCATCACCGAAACCAGCAGTGGCAGTGGTGGCAGCGGTGGGAAGGGATGGAGGCACGGCATGAGCATCTAGGCGAGAGGTGATGAGGAAAGCAGAGAGGGGCGAGAGTGCGTGGTGCAGCAGATGGTGCGCGGAAAGGGGGAAGGCGTGCTGTTGGGGAAAAAAAGGGGGGGAGGGAAAAGGAGAGACAGGACAGGAAACCTTTGGGAGGAGCGAGAGTGTGTGGAGCAGCATATGGTGTGCGGAGAGCGGGAAGGCGTGCTGTTGGGGGGAGGAGAGGGAGGGAAAAGGGGAGCAAGAGAGAGCAAGAGAAGTGTGTCAGGTTGTTGTGGGTCTGTTAAGCTGCATGGAAGGGATGATGATGGAAGCAGCAGGGGCGAGAAGCTGCATGGAAAGGCGAGGAGGGAAGGCAAGAGAGTGCACTAGCAGAAGGTGTGAAGGCGTGCGTGCAGAAGAGCCCCCCCACCCTTCTGCTAAAGGGTGGGCGGGCTCAGGACGGTGTGAAGGGGGGCTTGGGAGGAGAAGAGCGGCAAGGGAGAGACAGAGCATGCATGCTAAGGTTGTGGGTGTAGCTCGTATCACATGAGATGCGGAGCAAGTGTATTCAAGGGAAGCACGTACAGCCACGACTAGTTTTGAGGCGCCTCAAAAGTCACATGAGATGCGGAGCAAGTGTATTCAAGGGAAGCACGTACAGCCATGACTAGAAGCACATGAGGGCCATGGAAGCACGTACAGCCATGACTAGAGGCACATGAGGGCCATGGAAGCACGTACAGCCATGACTAGAAGCACATTGCGCAGCAAGGCCGAGGGCAACACAGCAATCACAGCCTCCACTTACAAAGCTCGTACAACCCTTGTGAGAGATTTATGAGCAGTCTCCGAAATTACATACAGCCATGACTAGAAGCACATGAGGGCCATGGAAGCACGTACAGCCATGACTAGAAGCACATGAGGGCCATGGAAGCACGTACAGCCATGACTAGAAGCACATGAGGGCCATGGAAGCACGTACAGCCATGACTAGAAGCACATGAGGGCCATGGAAGCACGTACAGCCATGACTAGAAGCACATGAGGGCCATGGAAGCATGTACAGCCATGACTAGAAGCACATGAGGGCCATGGAAGCACGTACAGCCATGACTAGAAGCACATTGCGCAGAGAGGCTGGGGGTAGAGCAGCAATGACTGCCTCTACTCTCGAAGCAGCATCTCTTCCTTTTTCCGCTTCCTTCTCCTCCTCCTCCTCCTCCATTTCGTTCTCCTCGGGCCTCTCCTCCCACTCCCCTCTCTTCTTCTTTCTTCCTTCCTCGTTTGACTCACCACCCGCCCCACTGCCCTCCTCGCCCTTGTGTCTCCTGTCCTCTCGCCTACACTTCCCTCCCTCCTTCCTCGCACCAACAGGTTTCCGTTTCCCCAATCCACCAGCAGCAGAGGATGGAACAACAGCAGCAGGAGAGGCACCAGCAGCAGGAGCAGCAGCAGCACCAACAGGAGTAGCAGCAGCTGCAGCAGTTGATAGAGGGGTAGTGGCAGCAGCAGAAGCAGCGGCAACAGCCGCGAGAACGAAAGATTCTACTGCCCTTCTCTCCCTCTCACTTAACCCTTCCATCAGCTCCCGCCTCCCCTTCTTCCTTCCTCTCCTCCTTTCCCCTTCCTTCCTCTGACGCTTCCTCTCTCTCCCTTACATCCCCCCTTCTCTCCTCCCTTCCCTCCTCCCTTTTCTTTTCCCTTTCCTCCTCCCTTTCCTCCTCCCTTTCCTCCTCCCTTTCCTCTTCCCTTTCCTCCTCCTTTTCCTCTTCCCTTTCCTCCTCCCTTTCCTCTTCCCTTTCCTCCTCCTTTTCCTCTTCCCTTTCCTCCTCCCATTCCTCCTCCCTTTCCTCTTCCCTTTCCTCCCCCATCTCCCTCCTCTCCTGTTGCTCTGCCTGTCGCCCCCCAACTGCCTGTCGCCCCCCAAGTGCCTGTTCCCCAGCAGCCCCTTCGCCGGTCACCCCTCCTGCGCCCATCGATGCTGCTCGTTTTGCCTTGCACTCCTGCGACCAGCCACAGAGGCACAACACGGATGCCAAGGAGACAACAATAGTCACAGCATTCAATGGTGTGTGCGAAGTGTCACCAAATATGCACTTTGTGCATATGTGATGACAGTGGTGCGCGGGTGTAGATTGGGGTGTAGCAAATGTTGTATTAGGAGTCGAGGCTGAGTAGGGGGAGGACGAATTTGACGTTGGGAATGGGAGGGAAAGCACCAAGAGGCGAAATGCATTGAACCAATCAGGGAGGACCAACCCAAACTCGAGCCGCACATTGTGAAATCTCTTTTGAGGCGCCTCAAAAGCCGCACATTGTGAAATCTCTTTTGAGGCGCCTCAAAAGCCGCACATTGTGAAATGTGCGACTTGAGCCTGGGCAAGGTAAGTTCAGTCACGAACACACAATCCATGCTTTCACTTGTTATTCTCTCATCATAGTGAAATCAGTTGCTCTAGATCATTGGAGTGACTTTTGAGAATTCTCAAAAGACAATCCAGCACCATGCCACTAGGAGGGAACCTGCGGGGTGAGGGAGAGACCTCCTTCAAGTGGCTCAGGTGAAGCACCACACGCAAGGAAAGGAAGCAGAATGGCAACAGGAAGTAGAGCAGGTGCCGGAGGAAGGGTGTTCTCCGACAGAACAAGTTTCTTCCGAGGAGGCTTAAAAAAAGACTCAACTTGTTGAGATGATTCTTGAGCATCTGCGAGAAGCAGGGCAGGCTTATTAAGAGGATGAAGAGAAGTACACACCTTATGAGCTTCAAGCAGGCTTCGACCAGCAGAGAATGCGGGGACGGGAAGGAAGAGGAAAAGGGTGGGGAGGGGCAGGTGAAAGGGATGGTAAACGAGAAAAACAGGTCAGGCAAAGAAATAGATGGAAAAAAATAATCTTCTGCGTCTCTTCAGATCAAATCAGTGCACAGTGCACCTATCACACCTTATTAAAGCTACATATCGGGTATTCACAAACCTAGTGAATTACGATGAAATGGATCAAGTAAATTGTGAGCAATCACACACTAATCACACGCGTCGCACCTTGTGAGCACTCTCCTCGCATAGTACAGATCCATGTGTGACCCAAACGAGAGGCATACTAGGGAGGGCCACCAGAAGTTGATGGCGATAGTGGCAGGTGTGCTGGTAACCTGGTGGTACCTGCGAACATGCAACGCAACACCATGGTTGCAAGTATTAGCATGGTGGCTGGTGGCATGGTGGCATGGTGGCATGGTGGCATGGTGGCATGGTGGCTGGTGTGCTGCTGACCTGGTGGTACCTGCATGCATGCAACGCCATGGTTGCATCCATGTATTAGCTGGCATGCTAGCATGCTGCTACCAGTCACCCAACCATGCACACATTACCCTCACCATTCCTCCCCAACCCCCCACCTCCTCCCTCACCCTCACGCCTCCTCCCACAGGCAGGAAGTGCGCATCTCCAGAATGAAGAGTCACCATGGCTGCTGCCGATGCCAGTCACCCAACCACACACCAGCACCTCATGTGCTCATCACCCGCTCTCCGGACCCCTCCCCCCTTTCCCTCCTCCCTCCCCTCCCTCACCAGCCTTCAGGCAGGAAGAGCGCATCTCCAGCATGGAGAGTCACCGTGGCTGCTGCCGCTGCTGCTGCTGGAGAGAAATGGAGAGGAGAAGGATGGGGATGGCTGCATGGCAAGGGAACAGGAGGACAGGAGATGGAGAGATAAGGGAGTAGGTAAGAGAGGGAGGGAAGAGGCTAGGCGAGAGAGCGAGAGGAGGGAAGAGGAAAGTAAGGTGACAGACATAAAAGCAGAAGAAAAATGCGATGATATCAGCTGCTGTGTAAGCTTAGCTTACTTTGAAAAAAAGCATGCATGGAGGAAATTAGTGGAGAAAAGAAAGGCACCCACGGGAGCGATCAGAGAGAAGGACGACTGATACGAACACACTCACACACACACATACACACACACACACACACAAAGGCAGAGAGTATGGAACAGGTGACAGGTGCTGACACGTGATTGGATGACTCGGAGTAGAGAGGCATGGGGTCCAGCAGATGGGCTGATGATGGCGGCCACAGACGAACTGCTCTGGTGCAGTGCGGTGGGGAGGGGTGGGATATGGTGAAGTGGGGTATCAAAGGAAGGGTACGACGGAGGATAGAAGGAGGAAACGAAACAAAAGCTTGGCTGCTGGTAGGAGCCATAGACGATCTGCTCTGGTGCAGTGAGGTAGGGAGTGGTGGAGTGGGGTACCAAGAGAACTGTGAGGACGGAATTCGTGGAGTGGGATGGAAGGAAGGATAGGACAGGCATGTCATACTAATTGAGCATAGAAAAGACATAAACTAATTGAGCTGCAGATGTTCAGAACTAGTGGAACTTGAAGTCTTGAGGTTAGATGCACAACAGAGTGAGCTGGAAAGTATGCAGAGCAGGTTGTGCAAGAGCCTTTAGTGAAGCGAGGAGGAGGAGGGACCAGGCTACCAGCCACCAACCCCATCGCCACCATCAGCACAACCATCCTCACCACCACCATCCTCACCACCACCATCACCACCACCACCATCCTCACCTGTTTTAGAGCCGGTTCCAATGCAGAGGAGGTTGTGGAAGAGGTCGTAGTGAGGTGAGGAGGAGGAGGAGGGACCACCAGCCACCACCCTCATCACCATCACTATAGCCATAACCACCATCGCCATCCTCACCACCACCATCCTCACCACCACCATCCTCACCACCACCATCACCACCACCACCATCCTCACATGTTTTAGAGCCGGTTGCAATGCAGAGCAGGTTGTGAAAGAGGTCGTAGTGAGGCGAGGAGGAGGACGGGCCGCCAAGTGTCATCCACAGATTGGACGACGTGAGGCGAGATGCGTCCAGCACCAATGGCTGGACAGGCGGAGAAGGGGCAGGCAGTTGGGAGATGTTGAATCAAAAGATGTAACATGTTGATGTTGAATCAAAAGATGTAACATGTTGATGTTGAATCAAAAGATGTAACATGTTCACACACAAAAAAAAAAACAGCAATCTTGCAACAGAATGGCCGACGTCTGGCTAGATGTGTTCAACAAGTGGCCACTCTGGCCGCGCCCTTGCCCAGCCCATGCTCATGCCTACTCGAAAGGAAATTTTGCGAATCCTGGATAGCATACAATAGGAGCATCTTGCAGCAAGGTCGAGAGTGGGAATTGTTGATGTGGCTGCTGGCGATCAAAGATGGGATTCTGGAATGGGTATGTGTGATGTGAGTGAGGCATGTGGGAAGAATGTGGGAGGGATGGGAGGTGGGAGAAGTTTTGAGTCGACTCAAAACCAAGATGGGATTCTGGAATGGGTATGTGTGATGTGAGTGAGGCATGTGGGAAGAATGTGGGAGGGATGGGAGGTGGGAGAAGTTTTGAGTCGACTAAAAACCAAGATGGGATTCTGGAATGGATATGTGTGATGTGAGTGAGGCATGTGGGAGAATGTGGGAGGGATGGGAGGTGGGAGAAGTTTTGAGTCGACTCAAAACCAAGATGGGATCCTGCAACTGGTATAGGTGATGTGAGTGAGGCATGTGGGAAGAATGTGGGAGGGATCGGAGGGAGGAGAAAGGGGAGAAAGGGGAGGGTGGGGGAGATTAGGTGAGCGGGAGCTGCCCATGTGACTGCCGTCTCTTTGCTACTGGGACTGCCCATGTACGATCCTTCCCACTGCTGCCCTGCTTCATGAGAACTGATCCGTGTGACTGCTGGCGATCAAAGATGGGGTTTTGCTCGTGGAATGTGCGTGGCACGTGGGGAGAATGTTTGGGGGGGAGAGCAGGGAGAGTAGAGGGGGCGGAGAGAACGTTGCAAAGGGGGGTTGTGGGAATGAATCGTACCGTAACCTAACGCCACACTGCCCAAGGGTCTTCGCTCATAGTGGAAGAGCAGCAATTCTAAAGAGTGACGCTTCTGAGCGAAGACCCTTGGGACAATGAATCGTACCGTAACCTAACGCCTCACTGCCCACTCTGCTCCCACAGCGTTGCTTTGCCATGAGATGCCCCCAAGCTCAAGAGCCTAATGGTCTCACTCAAGACCTGCTCTGTTCTTCCTCATTACTGCCTAGCCTAGGAACACTGGCAGCTCCACTGGCCCTCACTTGATACAGAAACACACCTGGGCGAGGTAGAACGCCAGTAGAGCTGCACCGGACGCCATGGCTCGTATCATCTCCTTTTGAGGAGCCTCAAAACTTAGACGACTTTTTTTTAGAAGAAACACACCTGGGCGAGGTAGAACGCCAGTGGAGCTGCACCAGACGCAATGGCTCGTATCATCTCCTTTTGAGGCGCCTCAAAACTTAGACGAATTTTTTTTAGAAGAAACACACCTGGGCGAGGTAGAACGCCAGTGGAGCTGCACCGGACGCCATGGCTCGTATCATCTCCTTTTGAGGCACCTCAAAACTTAGACGACTTTTTTTTAGAAGAAACACACCTGGGCGAGGTAGAACGCCAGTGGAGCTGCACCGGACGCCATGGCTCGTATCATCTCCTTTTGAGGCACCTCAAAACTTAGACGACTTTTTTTTAGAAGAAACACACCTGGGCGAGGTAGAACGCCAGTGGAGCTGCACCAGACGCCATGGCTTGTATCATCTCCTTTTGAGGCGCCTCAAAACTTAGACGACTTTTTTTTAGAAGAAACACACCTGGGCGAGGTAGAACGCCAGTGGAGCTGCACCAGACGCCATGGCTCGTATCATCTCCTTTTGAGGAGCCTCAAAACTTAGACGACTTTTTTTTAGAAGAAACACACCTGGGCGAGGTAGAACGCCAGTGGAGCTGCACCGGACGCCATGGCTCGTATCATCTCCTTTTGAGGCACCTCAAAACTTAGACGACTTTTTTTTAGAAGAAACACACCTGGGCGAGGTAGAACGCCAGTGGAGCTGCACCGGACGCCATGGCTCGTATCATCTCCTTTTGAGGCGCCTCAAAACTTAGACGACTTTTTTTTAGAAGAAACACACCTGGGCGAGGTAGAACGCCAGTGGAGCTGCACCGGACGCCATGGCTCGTATCATCTCCTGCAGCCCACCGCCCTGCTCCTCCTCGCCCCCTCCCGCCTCAGTTCCTTTCCCCTCACCCCCTTGCGGTCGGGCCCCGTCTCCTGTCTCCTCAGAACTGCCAGCAGCAACAGCAGCAGCAGCCGCACCAGCAGCACTGGCACCACCATCAACACCACCAGCAGCACCGGCACCACCAGCAGCATCACCAGCGGCACCAGCACTACCAGCACTCCACTTCCCCTCACCCCCTTGCAGTCGGGCCCTGTCTCCCTTCCCCTCAGCACTGCGAGCAGCACAATACCCAGCAGCACCGGTGGCAGGAGGGGCAGGAGTGACAGCACCACTGTCAGCAGTACCCGTGACAGGAGCGGCAGCTGCAACACCATGGATTCTCCCCCTGGTGCTTGCTTCCGCTCCCGCAGCAAGGGGAGACGCACACGCCAGTGCAAGAGCATCAGAAAATGTAGCTGCTATCTGGATCAGGGAACAAGAGCAATATCAGGGATGGGGGGGTGAGGAGACATGGGAGGGTGGGTGAGGAGGCTTGGAAGGGTGAGGAGACTTGGGAGGGTGAGAATTCTTGGAAGACTTCTGCTACTTGGAAGAGTCAGTCCAAGAAGGAACATAGGTGAAACACAGATGATCTTTTGTCACAACTGTTCTGATCTATTTAAATGCAACCATTTTCAAAAGTAGAAACAGGCAAGTTAGGAAACAAACAGCGGAAAAGATGAGGACTCAACTCACCCGCTCATGCTTGCGCAATGCTCCATCGAAGTAAGCCAAGGGCTGCTGCTGCGATGCATGTGACTGTGCTTCATGTGATTGTGTCGCATGTGATTGTTGTGAGCGCACAGCAGAGATGTGTGGCTCTGTGCGAGTCATGATGAGCTGCACGGGAGCAGATCCCACCAAATGCTGCATGGAATGGGAGAGGAAGGAACGGGGTCAGCATGAGGTGGCTTTTGATTCGAAAGTCGCGTGGTCGAGGTGAGTGGCTCTGTGCGCTTTTGGCTCCCCTCAGGAGTTCAGCTCAAGTCAGTCATAATGCGCTGCACGGGAGCTGAAGTCCTGAGACGCCTGAAAGTCAAGCGCAATTCAGAATGTCTTGCACCTGTAAGTATTCAGAATGTCGTGCACCTGTAAGTATTCAGAATGTCTTGCACCTGTAAGTATTCAGAATGTCTTGCACCTGTAAGTATTCAGAATGTCTTGCACCTGTAAGTATTCAGAATGTCTTGCACCTGTAAGTATTCAGAATGTCTTGCACCTGTAAGTATTCAGAATGTCTTGCACCTGTAAGTATTCAGAATGTCGTGCACCTGTAAGTATTCAGAATGTCGTGCACCTGTAAGTATTCCCGTGCGTGAGAGCTGTTGATGAGGTCCCATCGGGTCAGCGCCGGCCAATCAGCCACTGCTCCTCTCAATACCTGACACGTGGATAAAGCGTGGGGGTTGGAAGGGTGGACGGATGGGCTAACGTTAGCAGCACATGCACCAAGTCAGCTGAACAAGCCGCACACCAGCAGCAGACAGCACGTCAACAGCACACGCCACGTCAGCAGCACACGCCACGTCAGCAGCACACGCCACGTCAGCAGCACGCACCACGGGGAAGTTATCCTTCTCCAGCCGATGGCATAGCAGCGGCTCGTCCCTCGTGGCGTCCACCTTAATCTCCCTCACAGCAGCCGCGCTTTTCGCCCGAGAAACACCATCGTCGCCCATCGGCATCTTCAATCTGTACGGTGCCTTTAGAGACTCCTTCAAAGCTTCAATCGAGAAACACCTGTTGAGTCGACTCAACAGTCCATCGCGGCGTCAACCTCACCTTAATATCCTTCACGGCCAGCGCGCTTTTCGCCAATGGAACACCGTCGCCTATCATCATATTCGATTCGTACGGTGTCTCGGATAATCACACGTCGCCTGAACGACCATCGCCGCCCATCACCATCCTAGCTTTGTTGAACTAGTAATACGGATATGCCGTCCACCTTACGACCATGTATGCTCAACCCAGCAACGCCCCTGATAACACAGCATGTAATGTGACGTAACGATCATACGGACGAGGCCACCGCGGCGCGGCCTCAAGGTACTGGGCTAGCCGTACGTATTAGAAAGCCGACTCCTCCGAAGCTGGGAAATGTCGGGATTCTACTTGGGCCTGGGATTATCTGTGTAGATTTCAAACAAATTGGGGAGCGGGTCTTTGACTGTTATTGAACCCGATTGCGATAAGCCTGGTACACTTGTACATCATAGCAGAACTCCTATTTCAATTATCACATGTATTGGAAATTCGCACGAGAGCTATCGCAAACAAAAAACTTTCTAAGAAGGAAATGCAGTATTTTTTATGTTATTATGTAAAAATCACGTCCATCTTATAAACCACGTGCATGATTAAAAACTGCTATAGTGTGGATCTTGGATAAGATAGGATTGCTCTAGAGAGTTTTGGTAGCGGAAGACTTGTTGTAGGAACCTTGTGCATATTGGATGTAAATGACAAGATCGATTAAAATGATAAAATACACATAATAAATAGATCTAGCTAGCCATGTACTCTAAGGGGTACATTCCCTTATTCTAACCGTTTTACAGGCAGTTCTACAATGACTCTGACTATTGCTCTTCTTCTTGTTACCGAGTCGCTGCTTGTAGCAGTATAGACGGTTACGCCTGTTGCCATTCTCGTCTGGTGAGTCGTCGGTCTAGATGGTCAACAGTCGCGACAGTTGACATTTGCGACTGTTGACCTTCCTGCCCTTGTTACGGGCTGATCCGAAACTGCTGTTGGTGCTGCTTCGATAGTAACAGGTGAGGTACAGCTGCACCTACGGGAATGCTACAGTCAATTCCCTTCATACTCCAACACTCAGGGCCTATGTTTGGTTTTTGGCTACTCACGATTAGCAGTGTAGTGTAGCCTTTCTCAAAACCCTTCTGATCAGTGTGTAAATTTTCGTTACACTGATACATCAGTGTAACATTGAGTTTCGGAAATTTTACCCTAGAGCATCAGTGTAGTATTTTTGTGTACCCTTATCGCAAATACATATTGACTAAGTTCAGGCATCATCACTGTACGTGATGCCAAGATTCCTTTCCTTGGCGTGCTGGATACCGAACCGAAACATAAAAACGTGGCCAATTAGACACATGACTGCTGCCAACGCACTTACTGCAGGGAAGGCCGCTTCAGTACTTGCGTGATTGACGGAAATCACGCTCCGACATATTTCGGGAGTGGAGGGGGGGGGGGGGGGGGGGGGGGGGGGCGGTGCCCTGCACGCAGGGCTGGCGTTTCAAATTTAGGTACCCTGATTTCAACCTAAAAAAAAAAAAATTACCCTGAAGGCACATTTTCCAGAAAAACAGCACCCTGATTGCTCAGGGTTGAGAAGTAGTGAACTCTGAATGTTCAGGGTCGAGAATTGAAAATCAGGGTCGTAGTAACGCGCTCTTTCTTTACCGAGGACAGAAGTCTCACTCAATCAGAAGTCTCATTCTTTACCCTAATCGCAACATCTGCTCGAAATCTGTCTTGACCTAGCGCAAAAGGGATTTCCATACGGAGCAGAGGTCGAATCTGCTGTTGGTGTCGCAAGGGTGACTGTGACTGGCGCTGTGACTGGCGCGCTGTGACTTGCGATGTGACTGGCAATGTGACTGGCACTGTGGCGATGTGACTGGCACTGTGGCGATGTGAATGGCGCTGTGTTAGAGCACATCTATTTCGACCAATAACAGCAACCTAAAATCTGACATTACAGATTCGCCCGATCTAGATGGTGGGTGTATGGGAACGAAACTTCGAAGAAACTTCGTCTCAATAAAGCGAGGGGGGGGGGGGGGGGGGGGGGAGGAGTACGCACGTGGGGGGCACTGAAATCAATGCGAAGGGGTTATCAGGAGGAAATTTCCGAGAAACTTCGCCCCGATAACATCGCATTCAGGGTCCACAGGCCTCGTACTCTGTATTGACAGGGTCCGTGAAAACCCTACACTGAGAGTGTACACAAAATTTCAGGGTCCGCTAAAGCAATACTGTGAATGGACCAGGGACCAAAATGTGAAAAACCTGATTTCTCAGGGTCCAGAAAGTGACAAGTCTGAAATCACCCTGAAATCAGGGTAATTACCCTGATAAAATCAGCCCTGCCTGCACGCCCTTAAGGGTAATCTTCGCTAAGGGAAAATTTACCCCAGAGCATCAGTCTGGCCTAAATCGTTTCACTGTCAAATCAGTGTAACACTAATCCCCAAAAACATTACCCAAATACATCAGTGCAAGCCCAAAAAAACACCCTTCTCATCAGTACAGCAGTGTGATTTACATTGATAAAATAGGCCCTACCAACACTCCCCTTCATTCCTGGAGGTGTGCCACGTGGGTCTTTCGGATGACTCTGCACAGGTCCGAGCAGTGCTGGAACTTCTGATGTGGCAATTTCTTCGTCAGAAAGTCAGCTGCCATTTCGCCAGTTGGGCAATAGGCGAGTTGGACCTTTCCTTTGTCGATTTCGTCCTTGACGAAGAAGTAACGCAGGGCGATGTGTTTTGTGCGGTTGACGAAGCCAGGTTTGTTCGCGATCTTGATCGCGCTTTGGTTGTCGCAGATTAACTTGAATGACCCGTTCATCGCCGTCGTCATTTCCTGTAGGAGCTCATTGAGGTAGATGTCAGAATGTTGTCGTGCTTACATTTGTGTAAGCTATACTAGGGTAGCCCATAAGGGGTACAACCCAATTAGGGTTAGTACTTGTACCCAACTCTTTCATAGTTCATTCATTCTCGTTAGTTAGTTTGACATGGTTTCAGAGTAGGTCCTTCGCTAGGACCGTTTTTTTGGGCCCACCACAGCGCTGCCCCACTAGCCGCCCTGCTGGCTCACGCGCCGCCCCTAGCGACCTTCGTGCCGCACCTGCTGTCCAGCGCGCCCGCCCCTTGAGGCCCGCCCGTCGACCCTAGGCCCCGCGCGCCCGCCTCTTGAGGCCCGCCCGTCGACCCTAGGCCCTGCGCGCCCCGTCGACCCTAGGCCCCTGGCCCGTCCGTCGACCCTAGGCCCCGGCGCGACCCGTCGACCCTAGGCCCCGGCCCCGCCCGTCGACCCTAGCCTGGCGCGCCCCGTCGACCCTAGGCCCCGGCCCCGCACGTCGACCCTGCTACCCCGCGCGCCCGCCCGTCGACCCTAGCCCCCCCCCCCCCCCTCGTCGACCCTAGGCCCCGGCCCCGCCCGTCGACCCTGCTGCCCCGCGCGCCCGCTCGTCGACCCTAGGCCCAGGCCCGCCCGTCGCCCCTGCAGCCCGCGAGCCGCCCTTGCTGCCCCGCGCGCCGCCCTTGGTGGCCCCCTAGCCGCCCCTGCTGCCCTGCTAGCTGCCCCTTGCGGCCCTCTCGCAGCCCCTGCAGCCCCGCGCACCGCCTCTTGCTGCCTGCTTGCCCCCCCCCCCCCCCCTTTCTGCTGCCTGCCCTGTTCCCTGCGCTGCCCGCCCTCTGCCCGCCCTGCGTGCTGCGCCGCTATGGCTTCTCTCTGCGTTCTCGCGTTCGTTCATGAGGGCCGACCGATCCAGTTTGACACGTGGCTCGACGACCTGCAGCTGTACCTACTGAGCGACTCTAGGGACAACGTTTCGTTGTTTGACCACACGTCTGGCGCCGCTCTTGCCCCTCCCGCCATAGCTGACAGTGCGATTCGCTCACAGTGGCTTACTCGTGACGCTGCTGCTCGCTTAGCCATTCGCAACCACCTGCCGTTAGCCGAATGCGCTCACTTCGGACAGCACAGGACAGCACACGCACTGTACAACGTTGTAGTCGCCCATTAATCCTCGCCTGCCACTGCTGCTCTAGGCCGTCTTCTACTGCCCTACCTGTTTCCCGAGCTGTCCGCCTTTGCCACAGTAGAGGACCTGGTTTCCCACCTTCGCACTAGCGATGCTCGCTACCGCGCTGCCGTCCCACCTGAGTTCCTTGTCAGGAACCAGCCTCCGATGCTCATCACTCTCTACTTTATAGTCACCCGCCTCCCTGACTCTCTTCGCTCTGCCAGGGACCACTTTCTCTCACTTGACCCCATAGTCCTCACTGTTGACCTACTCGAGCAGCACCTCCTTGCAGTTGAGACTAGTGTAGTCCCTGTAGGTGCTGCTCGTGGCACTCCGCGCACGCCCTTCTTTGAGGAGTGCTCCCCTCCCCCCTTGCCCCCTCCTACGCCTCTGCTGCTGCTGTTGACGTCCCTGGTGCTGAGGACGTCGGGGCTGCTTCTGCTAGTGCGAAGCGCCGCAGCAGCAAGGGCAAGGGTGGCAGGGGTGGTGGCGATGGCAGCGGGGGTGGTGGTGGAGGCAGCAGTGGAGGTGGTGGAGGCAGTGGAGGTGGTGGCGGTAGTGGGAGTGGTGCCAGGAGTGGGGGCTTTGGTGGAGGCGGTGGTGGCAGCGGTGGGGGTGGCGGTAGTGGAGGCAGTGGGAGTGGTGGCAGTTGGGCTGGAGCTACTCAGCGTGGAGGCTGTGGCGGTGGCCAGAGGCAGCAGCAGCAGCGTCGGAGCGAGACCCCGTCGCCCCAGCAGCTTCGTGGGTGGTTTTCTCAGTGTGGGGCGTCTGGGGGTAGTGGTAGCTGCCCGTATGTCATTCGCACGGGTGACTGTGCTGGTCATGTTACGAGACTAACTTAACTAGGAAACGGGTTTAACTAGGGGCCTAGGCTTAGTAGCCTAGGCCAAGCGG